AAACGGAAAAAAACTCAAAATGCCACAGGCAGCGAAGTGGCACGAGCTGCCAGGCGTGCTCCGGCAAACTCTCTTGACACTTCCGGAGTAGGTCTCAACGATATGGATGAGCGTAGGGTTGCCTTCGAGCATCTCCTCGGTCGTTAATCCCACGACGTAGCCACATTGGGACTTCGATCCCTCCAAGTTGGCAAAGGAGCTGTCGGCGAAACAGAACACCACGGCGGTCTCCAAGGTAAGGCTCTCGTTCTTCACGAAGTTCCAGCACGCCTCCGAGGAGTCCTTTAGCATCTTGCTGACCGCCTTGTTCAGCTCGATGACATCCTTGATCTTGGGGTTTCCCATTGACTGGGCGGTTCACCATCAGGTCCGGTCGCGTCTGGCACGCCACCCATCCGAACTGACCGATAAGCCCCCGAAAGGAGGTTTTCTCGGCTTCTGTCAGTGGCGAAGAAGGGGTTTTTTCGGCGGTCGCCAGGTAGCACCATGTAGTCGACGGCTCCAGTGGCGTCCATCTGGTTGAGGGACACCTTCTCCTTGTTCTGCTTCACGTTCTTGCCGCAGAATCTGAAGTCTTCCTTCTTAATTACTCGTAAGGTGGAGTTCTGTCTCCATGGAGGCAATGGTCCGTCGAACTTTTCGCCCTCCCCGGCTGTGTAGTCCACGTGGGTGATAAGCACGCCGAACAGAACCGGCCCTTCGAGTGCTGGCTCGATGCGTGACATTCTCCACGTGTGCTTCTTCAGGGTTTGGAAGAGCTTGCGCCACCAAGAGCGGCCTGCGTCTCGGGTCCCGTAGATCGACCCCTTCGCTCGCAGCAGGTCGTGCAGCTCGGCCAGCGTCCGGTCCGTCTCGTCGTCAGGGGCAACGGGCTGAGGACCAGAAGGGCGCAGGTAAACAGGAGGAGCGTCATACTGCTCTGTGCCCGTCCTTGCCCCCCTCCCGAACACCAAAGGTCTCAACAGGTAAGGCTTCCTGAGTTCCCCTGGTGGCGGTGGTCTCCACAAGGGCCTGCTGGGCGGTGGCCTCCAGCTCGAGGCCGTATCCAGGTCTCCTGCCGGCTCTCCTGGGTTGTCGTGGTTGTTGTTGGTTTCCTGTCGGTGGGCAGCCTCCAAGACAGACTCCAGACAGACAAGGGAGGTCACGAAGGCGGTAGTAGAGGAGGTCTGCTCGGAAAGGTCCAGGCAACTGTTTGGCAGGGTGACCTGGGTGACCTCGCCTTGCTCGATCATGGCAGCAAGGTCCTCAAAGCCAGGTTCGTTGAAGCGGAAGTCACCAGGACACTCCAATATGAAGTGGCGCTTGCAGGCGACTTTCTCCTTGATCGTTTTCACCACCAAGGAACAAAACTTGTAGTGGATGTCGTCCTTCAGGGTGCCGGGGGTGATCGGAACATCCATGTCGTACTGCTGGTCCAGGTCGCTCAGGACGATGTAGGTCACGTAAGGGTCCTCTACTTTCACGTCGTGGGCCAGCTGCCTCCGCCCGGGGGCGGAAAGTGAAGAACGAGGTTCCATTCCAAAGGTGGAAGCCACAGCCATTCCAGCCAGGACGACGAGAAGCGACAGGCCAAAGCGTCCTGAGAACAGCTGCTTCACCCACGTCTTCCCGAAGGGGGGCCGAGGAGGCAAGGTGTTTCTCCCCGACAGCACCCGGCGAAACAGAAAGTCGTCACCATCGACCGCCGCAGAAAAGGAAGCGATCTTCTTGAACTTCTTCTTCGTGGCCTTCTTGAAGAAGAGGGGGTCACGAGCAATGTGCTCCTCAAAGTAATTCACGTCCTCGCTCACATCGCCTTCTCGGCCGTCCCTTGCCTGCTCGACTTCCAGGCTCCAATCCTGAACGTCTTGCCTCATGATCCCGATCACGTCCTCGAGCATGTCGCGGTCACCAGGGCATTCGCCGGGACCAAGAACGTCGTTGTATGCCCAGTTGGCCTGGTCGATCTCGCCCGGGGTAGGTGAGTAGGTGCCGGGATCCGAGCCTGCCGCAAAAGCGCGGTGCTGCACACTTACCGTCGGAGAGGGCCAGCAGCAAGTACGAGGTCTGGCGCTGACGGGACATACTCCCCGCTCTGTTCAACTTGCTCAGTCGGTAGGGCCACGGCCTCCTTCTTGAAGTCGCCTAGGGTCGCCTTGTTAAACTCCAGAAGGTTCACCGCCAAGTGGCCGCGGGAGGTCTTATGCAGCGGCAGGTCGCGAACACCGATCTTCTCGAAGCAGACCACGCCGCGGCCGACATCGATTATCGTTCCCAGCTCCTGCATGAAAGGGCGAGACAACAGCAAGGGCAATGAGCCAGGAGCCTCGCAAGAGCAAAGCTCGCCGTGCACCTTCGACAAGCCGACGGGGTACACCTTGGTTATCGACGAGGTCACCTGGAAGCCGACTCCTCGGAAGGCTTGGGGCCTGTCGAGCACCTCGAAAGACAGACCGAGCCGCAGCAACTCTTCCTCAAATCGGTCAGCCCACAGCTTGCCGTGCATCGTCTTGGTGCAGCCAGAGTCCAGAACAGCACGTCCAGGAGGATCCGACGGTGCCGTGGCAAAGCTCTCGAAGGCACCGGGGTCGTCCTGGCTCCTTAGCTTGGCTGGTCATCATCACGTCGCAGTCCTGCTCGGTGACCACATCTATACGGCGAGTCCACTGCCACGGGAACTCTCACCTGCCGGGTGGTGATCATGTCCCCCGGCCTCAGTACTCGCTTGCTGGAACCGCCACCACCTAGCATCCGAAGCGCTGCGTCCCGAACCTGCTTGAGGCGGCCGTACAGGTAGAAGGCAAAACGGTGGATCTCAGGCCTGGTCACCTGCGAGCACCACACGGCGGCCTCAGCTGAGGAGGCTGTTTCCTCCAAGCTCCTCCCGACGAAGACAGACTCGCCCTCGATGAGGTCATGGTCGGCCGGCGGGGGCTCAAGCATGTCGTGGTCCTCCAAGTCGAGCACTGGGAGGCTTGGCGGCTCAACGTCGGCTGCCACGCAGACGCCGTAGACCCAAGCGCGTTGAGGCATAGCAGCTGCCGGGGAGCTCGGGCCGGACACCAAGGGGCGAAGAAGCCGCGCCGGAATATTCCATTGGTCCCTCCGACTGCTCCGGGCCGGCCAGCCTAACTCCGCACTCCGGCTCCTTGCACATAATGGACCTCGTGAATCCATTGGCAGTGTGCAGCCTTAGGCCGTGGTTCTTGAGCACCATGAGCACTTCACCCTCGGGGTTCTGCATCTGAAAACATGCCTGAGGAGCCCTCAGACAACATGCCCTCGAAGACGACGAGGGCCTCGTGCACGAAGTCCGTCTCGCCGCCGGGCTTCTCCGGGGACTCCACGTACATGGTGGAGTGGCTGCCGCGCTTCTTGGGCACGGGCTGGGCTTCTTCTTGATGCCCTGCCCCTTCCCCTTCTTTCCGCGGTTCGGGCATTCTTGGTCACCTGCCCAGTGTCCCCGCTGACCGCAGGAGGTGCAAGGGGTGACTGTCTTCAAGAAGCGCACGGCATTCTTTCTCGCCTCCTTGGCCTTCTGGTCGACCGTCATCTCCCCCTTGGCCTTGAAGCCAAAGGTCTGCTGCGAGGAGTCTCGGGCGCCAGGCGGGGAAACGGGGCCTTTCTTCCTCTGCGCGAGCACGGCAAAGGCCTCGGCCAGCTCGGGGTCGTCGAGGTCATACTCCGGCGCCAGCGTCTCGGCAGGATCCTCGTCACAGTCGCCCTCGGCCAGCGCCTCCTCGTAGAACTCGGGGTCGTCGTCCTCGAAGTAGGCTTCCTCGCCCTCGTCTTCGACCTCCTCATAGGTCGCCATGGCGTAGTTTCGGGGCTTTCCATTTCCCTTTCCGGGCTTCATCGGTAGCCTCTGTCTTGAAGGAGAAGGGGGAAAACCTGTCGCACGGGAGCAGCCAAGGTAGTCCTTGCGGTGAACCGGCTTTCCCGAACACGAGGGGAACTGGATCCGCAAGGCGTGGATTATCTTCTGGAGGTCGTACTCGTTCCCGACCGAGGAGAGAACGTTGAGCTGCTTCCTTCAATCCAAGCCGCCGAACGCGAGGAGCATCATGGCACGGAGGTTGGTGGGCACAGTCGCCCCAGGGCATCCTCCAACCTCTTGAAGTCCTGCTCGCGGCGGATGATGTACTGCTGCATGCTCTCCGTCGGGACCCTCCATACCGCCGAGCTGTAGAACGCCGTAAAGAAGAGCTCGTTGACCTTAACGGGTTTTCAGGCCCGATGTTGTCCTTCAAGGTGGACAACAGCAGCTTCATACCCTTGTCAACGCGCTTGCCTTGGCTGTCCTTCGTCATCAGCTCGGCGTGGGTCAGCTTCCTCACTGCTTCATAGGCTGAGCCACTCAGCCCGGCACGCAAGTGCACCGGAGAAGCAGCCTGCTGCCCTTCATTTCCTTCTCTTCCATAGTACAGGTCCCAGGCTCTTTCCGCGTACTCTTCATAGAGCTCCGGCTCGCCCGAGTACTGCGGCACGCCGTGCCGGTCCACATCCAGCTTCGCCGCGAAAAACATCACCTTGGGGAAGCTTTTAAAAACCGCCGGCACAAAGGCGGGCGTCTTAGGCCTGGGTGGTAATCCAGGCACGGAGTCGTAGGGCTCGAACAAGGCACTTCAGTGCCCAAGCGAAAGCCTGAACGAACAGGCTCCGCTTACCATCAAAATGCCACAGGCAGCGAAGTGGCACGACGGCTGTTTTCTAGCACAAAAAGGGCGCCCTCGTGAGCCGAAGCAACCGGTCTGGCAAGTCTCTGCGCACATGCCGTCCTAAAGCTACTGCTCCTGCGGATGCTCTTTCACAAAAACAAAAGCATCAAACACAAATCAGAAACGTCAGAACCCTAATGATGTGATGCAGAACATGTCGCATGTACAGCAGGATCACACAATCATGATCACAGACCCTACAGTGACATGCCCCGATAGCAAATCCTTCGTGCAGCAGCCTCCCGCTTAGTTACACTGCAACTCTTCTGCATCGTGGCCATCAGAACGAGCACTTCTTCCCGCCTCTTGTCGGCGCATCTCCGCTGCTGCCTCCAACTCTGCATCCAAACCACAGCTGAGCGTTCACATGCGCAAGCTGAAGCTCCTAGACAGAAACTGTTCTTCTGCAGAGTCTGGACGCCTCTTCCTCTGCCATGGCCCTCTGCAGTGCTTCCTCTTCCTGCTTCTTGAAATGCCACCGCACCGCAGGCTTAATGTGGAACGACCGCTCAATTAGCCGCTGCATCATCCACTATCACTATCAGACATGGCGACGTGGCAGTGCACCTCTCGTCGTCGCCTCTCTTCTTCAAGCCGTTCCTGTTCCTGTACGTACAGCGATGCAAGTTGACGTGCCACGGCTGATGGCAGCTGCAACTTACGGATGACCGTGGCTAGGACGGGTGGAGCTGCCCTAACCTGGCCAGCCTCCTGCTCTGCCTAGGCTTTCTCAGACATGCCGCGCAAAAACTATTACAGACCAGAACATGCCCCGATAACAACCCTTCGTGCAGGATCCTCCTGGTTAGTTACACCGTGTTATACTGCAACTTTTCTGCATCGTGCTCATCAATACCAGCACTTCTTCCGACCTCTTGTCGGTGCATCTCCGCTGCTGCCTCCAACTCTGCAACAGCAAGCATGTCACAATACTTGCACGCACCACGTGCCACCAAGACGACGCGGCCTCTGCGCGGGCCTTCTCCAATGCTGCTTCCTCCTCCTACCAAGCCACAACTGAGCGTTCACATGGGCAAGCTGGAAGCTACTAGACAGAAACTGTTCTTCTGCAGAGTCCGTTCCTCTTCCTCCTCAACGCATGCACTCTGCTGCGTGTTGCTCCAGCTGGTCGGCGAGGCCTCCTGTATTGACCAAAGCAGTCGCAGTTTCAGAAACACCCTTCCGAAGGATGCTTGCGGGACGCCTCTTCCTCTGCCATGGCCCTCTGAAGTGCTTCCTCTTCCTGCTTCTTGAAATGCCACCGCACCGCAGGCTTAATGTGGAACGACCGCTCAATTAGCCGCTGCATCATCCACTATCACTATCAGACATGGCGACGTGGCAGTGCACCTCTCGTCGTCGCCTCTCTTCTTCAAGCCGTTCCTGTTCCTGTACGTACAGCGATGCAAGTTGACGTGCCACGGCTGATGGCAGCTGCAACTTACGGATGACCGTGGCTAGGACGGGTGGAGCTGCCCTAACCTGGCCAGCCTCCTGCTCTGCCTAGGCTTTCTCAGACATGCCGCGCAAAAACTATTACAGACCAGAACATGCCCCGATAACAACCCTTCGTGCAGGATCCTCCTGGTTAGTTACATCGTGTTATACTGCAATTTTTCTGCATCGTGCTCATCAATACCAGCACTTCTTCCGACCTCTTGTCGGTGCATCTCCGCTGCTGCCTCCAACTCTGCAACAGCAAGCATGTCACAATACTTGCACGCACCACGTGCCACCAAGACGACGCGGCCTCTGCGCGGGCCTTCTCCAATGCCGCTTCCTCCTCCTACCAAGCCACAACTGAGCGTTCACATGGGCAAGCTGGAAGCTACTAGACAGAAACTGTTCTTCTGCAGAGTCTGCGCCTCTAGTCTTTGCCGTTCCTCTTCCTCCTCAACGCATGCACTCTGCTGCGTGTTGCTCCAGCTGGTCGGCGAGGCCTCCTGTATTGACCAAAGCAGTCGCAGTTTCAGAAACACCCTTCCGAAGGATGCTTGCGGGACGCCTCTTCCTCTGCCATGGCCCTCTGAAGTGCTTCCTCTTCCTGCTTCTTGAAATGCCACCGCACCGCAGGCTTAATGTGGAACGACCGCTCAATTAGCCGCTGCGTCATCCACCATCACTATCAGACATGGCGACGTGGCAGTGCACCTCTCGTCGTCGCCTCTCTTCTTCAAGCCGTTCCTTTTCCTGTACGTACAGCGATGCGAAATGACCGTGGCTGGGACGGGCGGAGCTGATCATGTGAAACCCTAACCTGTACAGCCTCCTGCTCTGCTTAGGTTTTAGCACACATGCCAAGCAAAAATGATCACAGACCCTAACATCGTGCAGGATCCTCCTGCTTAGCTACACCGTGTTACACTGCAACTCTTCTGCATCGTGGCCATCAACACGAACACTTCTTCCTGCCTCTTGTCGGCGCATCTCTGCTTCTGCCTGCAAGCCAGCCCACCACGTGGAAAGCGAGAGGATACGAGAGGCAGAAGCTTGCAGGGCACGCGAACCCTCCCACACACGGCATTCGGCCCCACCATCCCGTCAGTTGGAAGGGACTGCCTCGAGAACAGCTATTCAAACCCTAGGGTCTGGATTGCCTGCTTTCGAGACCTCTGCAAGAATGCGGGCATCTGGTCCAAACCGTGTCGCGGAGTTAGCAATCCAGACCCCGGCGGACGTAGGCAAAGCTTCCTAAACCACTCAACATCTCATCTAAGGGATAGCGGGTTTAGGGCTTCTGTGTTCAGGGGTTTCGTCTTTCTGTGTTCAGTTTCTGGCTTTAAGGCCTCTGGCTTCAAGGGTTTGGGTTTGAGGGGTTCTGGCCTCAAGGCCTTTGGGTTTAGATTCTGGATGTTTCAACGTTTAAGAGCTTAGGGCTTCATGATCCTTCAATCCTGCTTTCTTGGGTTTCAACTTTTCTTTGCCCCACGCAGGACTTGGCATCTTTGGGCTTCTGTCATCATACTTCCTCTTCTCTCCACCTTTGCTGTGTGCTGCGGCTTCTCCTTTCAACCTTGTTACGGCAAACTCTTCAATCTTGTGCACTAGCCCATCTAGCCCACCACCATCCCCTACAACCTCCGGGTTGGTACTAGCTAGAGTAGTCGTACTAGCCGAGCAACGAAAGCGAGCTAACAAACAGTAGCGCACGACGACTCTCCTTTTTCATGGATGTGGCGTGAATCCCAGTTAGCCTGGAGATTGTCGCTAGCCTTAGGCTAGCCCTCCCCGAGCGAAGCCACTCAGGCTACCAGGGATCTAGCCTTCGGACCTTTCGGCCAAAACGTGACACCCTCGCCGGTGTCTCTCGCTTTCGCACTCCTAGCTCCTGGTAAAACCTATCGGAGTGCGCGAGTAGCTGGTCCAGCATCCTCCAACGGAGTTCATCCCCTTTGAGGGCTATCCTCAAGCCGGGATCAAAAGCCCGAACTCCTCGTTGGTGAGGTCGTCCGCTAGCTGGTTGAGATCTCTCCGTATCCACTGTAGCTGTAGCTCACAGTTCCTGTGGGATAGCTCTTCGGCCGTCTCCATCAGGATTAGCATGGAAGGATACTTTGTCGTCATAGCCTTCTTCAAGAGGGACTCATTGGACTTACTACCGTATAGCCCCTGATGGCAACTCGCGAGGTTTTCCTATCCTTGCCCTCCGGGACCCAGAGGCGTATCCCGACGAGGGTCGCTAGCAACTCTAGCGCGGCTATCACCTTCTTCGGGTCTCCTTTGGAGAAGGCCCAAGGCGCCCAAGACCTGTCCACCTCGAGAGAAAACCAGGACCGGTTTTCTCGAGTCTAGCTCTAGGACCTCTAGGAAGCCCCCTATCCATGCTCTCGTGGACTCAGCCTTAGCGTCGGTGTAGAAACTCAGAGGAGGTAGCCCACGGAGTAGCCGTACTGGTCGCTGTAGACGGTCGCCCGAGGTCAGCTTCCCGCCTAGCCAAGTCATGAGCACCCTGAGCATGGTGGGAATCACGAGTAGCACATCACGCCCTTGGATGGCCGCCGACCAGGCGTGGAGGGGACCCAAGAACGGCCTCTCCCAGTCGAGCGCGATCGCCGCATCTCCTTCACCGAAACTCTGCCCGTGCTGGACCTCTCGCCTAGCCATTTGGCTAGCCATCCGGCCCGCTTCTCCGACATCCTCAGCCCGTAGCCGGTGTAGTCGCCCCGCGTCTTCGCCCATTTGGGATAGCCGAGCACCGAGAGGAAGAGGTAGCTCAGTGGACGATCTGGCTATCCGGGTCGCCCGGGACCGTCTCCTCCTCGTCTATCTGGCAACCCATGTAGCCATGCTCGCTCGCCTGGTGCTTGTATCGCCGATGGGCCTTCGAGATGTCGCCCACGACCGAGTAGGCCACCTCGCCCTCCGACTCTAGCTCCCGTAGCAATTGCTTCTTTTCTCTCGCCCCTGGGGCTCGGAGCTTATCCCGGCATTTTATCCGGTTGTTGACCTTGACGCCATGGGCGGCGTCATGGATTATCCTCTTCTTATCCTTCTCCTCGTCTTCGACTATCACCGCCAAGGCCGCGATCGTTCGGTCCTCGCCGAACCTAGCCTTGAACTCGCCGAGGGTCATCTTCTCCATGAGCCCCTCCAACTTATCCCGAACGAAGTCGCGGTGGTCCTTAACCGAGGAGTAGTTGGGCACCCACGCTAGCCCGGGCTCCCAGGTCCTCTAGCCTCCAGGAAGTCTGCTCCTCAAAGACGTGAGGAGTCCTGGGTAGCCCTTCGAGGATCCCTAGCGGTAGCCCTGTCTCGGCTCGGCGCAGAACTCCCTATCCGGATCCCCCGCAATCTCCAGGAGAACGCGAAGTAGCCGAAGACGAAGTGGTTGACCCTCCGCCGCGATCTCCAAGAGGGCCGGGCTCACTCTTATCCTGTCCCTCTAGCCACTTCTGGAGCAGCTGGAGGATCTCCCGGTGGATATCCTCATCTCTAGCCAAGTTGCACCCTTCTTCGCCCATCTCCGCCATCCGGAAGGCTTCCTTCTCCAGCGGATCGCAGCTGATACGTGGCGCGAAGAATGCACTTCTCGCACCAACTTGTTCACCGCTTCCACTGCCTCAGCTTTCTTGGTGGCCAGCAAGGACAACAAGCAGGAGACTTTGGCGCTGTGCTGCGGCCCGGTCTGCGAAGCATGCCACTGGATTGATCCCAAGATGGCCCGGGCTTGGGAGATCTCTTGATTCGTGAGCTCCGGGTCGTCTCCCTTCTCCTGGTGAGGCATCTGCACAAGCTCAGAGCAAAACTCTGAATGGTCCAAGTGGATGCTTCCATAGGCGAATTGCTGTACTCGTACTCCGCAGTGTCCGGAGTTATCGCTTTCCCATGGTGACCAAGAGTATGCTCGATGGAGTTCATGTAGAAAAGTGCAGTACTTGTCGCTGGTCTCGTCCCCGCAGAACAATATGTCGTCGACGTACAGTCCGATCAGGGCGATGACGGTCTTGCCATCATCAGCGAAGAGGCGCCAAATGCATGGGCCCGAGATGCAAGGAACTGCTCCAAGTTGATGCAGTGCGGTGGTGAGGTCTTTGAACCACTAGCATGGGGCTGACGTTAAGCCGTATGCCGAGCCTAACAATTCCACCATTTGCCCTTCCGACAAGCCCATGGCCTCGGCCAACTCGGGAAGTGGTTGAGCATGAAGAGAATGTTGTCGGTCAGGAGCTCGGGCCTGCAAGAAGGCAGTCTTAACACTTCTTCCCCATCGCGTAGTTGAAGAAAAGCATCTTGCTTTGTCGGCTCATCGCCGGACATGAAGTATCTTGGTCCAGCAAAGAAGGATCGCTGTACCCAAGAATGACCATTCCAGCCTTAGCTTTCACCTGTCCTGGTTCCGCCGCCTTGAACGTGAAAATCCAGCGCACGCGGAGGGCCTGGTCTTTTGTGATGTGGGGAAGCGCTGCTTTCACCACACGATTGGCCTTGGCCAGCCAGGAGTCCACTTCAGCCTTCTTGGCCTCTCCCACCGCAGCACGCTGCTTATCATCCAGCTTGCTCCAACTCACTTCCACCCCCTTCTGGACCGACTTGGCCATGAACTTTTTGGGGGACTTCAGGACCTTCTTCCACTCCTTGTCGTTGGCGGGCATGTCCAGCGTGGCGGCATAGATCCCGGAGTCGGTCTCCTCCTCGGTGTACATGAGCTGACCTTGTTGAACATGCCACGGGCGGTCCGCCATTTCATGTTGCCGGCGTTGTTCTTGAAAGGAAGCCCTCGAGGAAGGAAGCATGTAGCGAGGATCATTGAGCAAGCGGCCCACATCCAACGCCTCGCTCAACTCGCTTGCCGAAGGAGGCTCATGGAGTCGGGCCTTCCTCACGGCGGAATCGGGGATCATCTCCTCGTCGGACTCGGCTAGATCTGATTGTCGAAGTTCCTGAGGAGGTGCATGTTGAGCTGGTCGAAGTTTCTGAGGAGGCGCAGGTTGAGCTGGAGAGAGCTGAGGTGGTGGTCGATCTAGGTCCCGTCACCGCATTCCCTTCTTCTTCTTGCCCACAAGGACAACCTCGACACCTTGCTCCGGGATTCATCGTCATAAGCCCCTTCGTCCAACAGCCTAGTCAATGAAGTCATAGTCCACGGCATGGTGACGTCCCGGAGGGCCTCGTGAGTGAGTCGTTCACTTGGAGAGGCATGTCGGAGTTGGATGGCATGGAACTTCTTGAGTCGGCCACTGCAAATGGCCCAAATGTACTGCGACGGCGAGCGATGTCCTGCCTCCACCTTGGTTTCACAGCTCAAGATCCGCGCGGGTCCATACCAACGCGCTCCCCGAATGCGCGGTCGGTCGACCCAGGAATTAGCCGGCATGTCGGCGGGCGTCTTGTACCGCCGGTAGAAGACCACGTCACCGGGGTAGTATGATCAGCCCGGTGCTTGAGGAAGGACTGCTCAGCTTGTTGACGTAGGTCATGCTGTAGCGAGAAAGTAGTCGCCCGGGAAGAAGAGATCTCATCGCCGAGGGAGTCGTGGGCTCGGTTGCCCGAAGAAAGGTCCCGGCCAAGGGCCCATTGCATGGGCGAGAATCCGTGTACCCTGGCCCACGTGTTGTGGGCAGTCACTGCTGCCACCGCCGCTCTCCCCGGTGTTTCGAAGGCTCCTCCTCTCTCACGCTCCACATCCGCGATCATCTCGTGGTACTCCGCCGGGGCAGGGACAAGGTCGATCCCCTTGTCCACACATGCTTCACGCAACACTCGGCTTCGAAGGGCAACTTCCAAATCCAGCTTGAGCGTGTCCGGATAACCAAAGTACTGGAACCAGGCCTCCTCCAAAACTTTCACAACCTCAAGTCCCGTCATACTCTGGTGCAGCTTTCCTCCGTTCAAAGCGTGATCTCGAGAAAGAAGTAGTAGATGACGCAGGACTCTGAGGTAGCGGCTGGCCCTTGCGGCATCCTTCGGTTCCAGTGGCGGTCGGAGAAGAGCTGGGCAGG